ACCCCACCAGGCCCCCCCAGACCCCCCCAGGGACCCCCCCAGACTCCTCCAGGACCCCCCCGTGGCCACCCCGGGACGCCCCCAGCCCCTCGGGGGACCCACCCTTGTGCAGAGCCTCGTTGGTCATCCTGTGCACGCCGCGGCCGGGCCCCTCGGGGACGAGCCAGCGCATCACGGTGTCCACGCAGCCCTTGCGGTACGAGCTCCACACGCTGCCACTGCCACGGCCAGTTTGGGGGGGCTGCCGGGACCCCCGCGCCCCCCCACTGCACCCCCAGGGCCCCCCCAAAGGGCTCTGCAGCATTTGGGGAACCCCAAGCGCAGTCGCTGCCAAGGGGAGCTCGGGGAGGGTTGGGGGAGGCTCGGGGGAGTCCCAGAGCCCCTCCAGTAGCACAGAGCGCTCCAGGGGCCTCACCCAGCACCCCAGAACAGCACCAGCCTCCCCAAACCCACCTGAGCACCCCCCAGAACCCCCAAATCCTCCTCAAAACTCACCCAGGGCCCATCCAAATCACCCCCCAGAACCCCCAAATCCCCCTCAAAACTCACCCAGGGCCCACCCAAATCCACCCCCAGAACCTCCAAATCCTCCTCAAAACTCACCCAGGGCCCACCCAAATCCACCCCCAGAACCTCCAAATCCCCCTCAAAACTCACCCAGGGCCCACCCAAATCCAGCCCCCCCAGCCCCTCGACACACCCCAAAATCCCCCCTCACCTGGTCTGCCCCTTGACCTCGGTGAGGTCCCCCACGCCCACGGTGGTGAAGGTGCCGCTGTTGAGGTCCCAGGCGACCTTGAGGCTGGTGTGGTACGTCCTGGGACTGGAACGGGGGGCGTCAGCGCCTGGGGGGGCTCCGAGGGAGCTCTGGGACCCCCCCACCCCTCTCACCGGAGCTGCCCCTCCTCGTCAGGGGAGGGGAAGGCCAGCAGCAGCAGCCCGATGTTGATCACCACCTGGTTGGTCTCGGGGCACACCTGGGGGTGCAGAAGGGGGTGGGGGGAAACTGTGAGGGCGACCCCCCCCGTTCAGGGGGTCCCACGGGGGTCTGGGCGAGTGCTGGGTGGGTTTTGGGGTATCCCGGGGGTGCAAGGGGGTCCTGCACTTTGGGATGCACAGGGGTGACAAGGGACAGAGAAGCTGGTGCGGGGGCAGTGGGAATGTGGGGCACCCTGGGGTTCTGGGGGCTCGGGGGGGCTCGGGGGGGCTCGGGGGGCTCAGGGGGTCCCAGCACCTCGAGGATGACGATGTCGTAGTCGCTGAAGGAGCAGAACTGGCGGGACCAGGCGGCGTCGTTACGAATCACCTCGTTAATGACGTACTCAAAGTCCAGCGTGAGCTGCTCCACCGTCAGGTACTGCCCCTGGGGGGGTCCGGGGGGTCACGGGGGCTCTGCCCACCCCCCCAGGGGCTCCCGGGGGTGCCCTGTGGGACCCCCTGAGCCTCACCTGGGCCGTGGCTCGGTCCCGCAGCGGCCTCAGGCTGCGGCCGCTCAGGTCGGTCACCACGAAGGGCAGCGAGATCTTGTCATCCTCCAGGTCTGGGGGGGGGGACAGGGCTCAGGGGGGCACCCCAATAACGGGGGGGAGTCCCGTCCCCCACAGGGGGCACCCCCGGCCCCCCGCTCACCCTCGGGGGGCTCCCCGGGCTCCAGCACGTAGCGCAGTTTGGTGTAGTTGACGTAGCCGGGCTCGGGGGAGGTCCCGGGGGGATGTGGCTCCCCTGGGGGGCTGCCGGGCACTGGGGGGGGGGTCTCGGGGGGGGGGCCGCGGGGGGGGGG